CATTCGTAGACAGAAGGGTTGCTCCAGACGCAGCACCTTAAAATAGCATAGGATCATAACATCCTTTTCGTTGACGGAATCAAGCCGATCTAGATAAATGAAAGTGAAGGGCTGACGTGTAGCATAGAACGGTTCATATTTCTTCGTTCTTTCGTTTCTCCTTTTAATATGCGTGGTACCAGTACATCGGCTTAACACTAATTTTCCAATAATCCTAAATTGATACTCAGCGTACTAATAGCTCGGTGATCCTAGCGGTAATCAACTCGGTATGCTTGGTACTTTTGCCCGATACCGGTTGGTACCGATCGGCTATCCTGCCGCTCGACTACTAGAACCTCGGTACCTTAATAGGCTCGTACTTAGAATTCGGCTACCGCTGCGGTAATGGAACTACGGTACCACATGGTACTTAGAAATTCGGTACGTGCGTACTGGAATCTCGTTACCGACTTTGTACTAAGAAATTCGGTACCACACGAGCTGCCGTCGTAACTGCTCGTTACGAGAGGGAGAATACCGAAATTGGTTAACCAAACCGAGCACTACCGTAGAAGGCTAGAGGCCAAAGAAATTTTAAGAAAACCCTTACAAGTAAAAATTTTGTTTCACGGAGGGCCGCTTGCCCGTTACCTTGCACCCGGCGGCCATAGGCCGCCACATATCTACACTGTTAAATTAAAAATTTTAATGTTTCAAATTCATGTGGAATTAATTGTGTCCGATCACTCATCGTAGGTATAATAAACTATGTCGGTGTAGGAAATTGGGTCTACTGATGATCCATTCTGAGACCAATATTGAAGATAACAACCTCTGTGGGTTATGTGACAAAAATCAGGATAAAACGTCAGAAGGGTTGGCCTAATATTGCATTCAAATTAATTTTTGTAATGCACATACAGAGATGATCATACTTATAGAGGAAAGCTCATTTGTTTGAAGAATCAGCGGTTATAAAAGTTAATAAGTATCCGAATATAAGCTCATCACAAAATGGCTAAATTACAAAGAAAAATCAGTGAAGCTGAGGCAAAGGAGAAACTAATTCCAAAAAATGTGGTGGGATTATACATGGAACTTCCAGCATCTCTACTTCAAACATCGCCTAAAAGAATTCTCTGGTCAAGTTTCAGTTCTCATCTGTGTGTGAAAGAAATTGCGACACAATACTTGTTCATGCTAAATCAATGAAAGAGAAATAAAAATTACTACCACAACGGCTGAAGATTTATAATTTTATGTGACATACAAACTTCGTTTACTCTCAAGGAAAACTTCAACTTATATGTTGATGGAGACAACGGATGTGGGATAGTGTGCTGGAGATGGATTTGAATAACACTTGAGGATATGCAGAATATTAAAATTGCCTAATCATTCTTATTCTTGATGAGCTGAATTGGGAAGTTATGATATATTCATTTGAAGAAGATATATGGAAATTCAAGACAAACCATTGAATATAAGAATCCTAGCATTCTTCGTATTGAAATAGTTTGAAATACTTTATAGTGCTCGAACAATTTATGTTTAATGTTTCTTGATTTGTTGTACTAGATAATTAAATATATTTAGTGCTTTACCTTCTATTTATGATATTATAAATCAATGGCTACAAATGATGTTTGGACTTCAAAATTTCATTTTGTGTGCATTTTAATATATCTGTAATGGATTTGATTAATCAATGTTATTTATTTATGGTAGTTGGGATTTATATATTATAATATCGTATCCGCGCCATATCCGTATCCTGTATTTTTAAGAATTGTCGTGTCCCATATTCGTATCGTGACGTATCCGTGTCACCATATCCATATCGGTGCAACATAGGCACTGAGATATGGCTGCATAATGTGCGTGGTAGCCTAACTATGAACTTAAAATTGAGGGATTTACATACCTATCATAATTTTTTTACATATTTAATATCTAAAATTTTATATTTATTTATATAATATCTTAGTATTTAAATTAAATTACTTTAGATAAATTAATGTTAATGATACTTTTATATGATTTAGAGATTATAGTATTATATATATAAATATAAAAATTTAAATATTATATGTCTAATCTTTCCTGACGGGGAATATAGAAATCAAGTGTCCACAGATTGATAGATAACACCCAATAATAAGGCTTGATTTCTTTTATAGGGCTTGTAGAAATATGTTGTCAACAAGTAGATAATTGAAGCCTAACAATTAGGTTAAATCTTGATAAGAGTCTGAAAATTATGATAATTACTGATAGTGATCATCGGCGGCAATGGTGGTTATTGCTGGAAATAGCAAGTGGTGGTTGTCGGCAGAATAGGTGGAAGATGCAAGAGATCTCTCTAGTTCTTTCCTTTCTCCTCCCCTCTCATGTGAATAATGAGGCTTTATTTATAAGTTTTTTGGGATTGACGTTTTAGTAATTTGAACTAGAATCTAAAACACTCTATCGTACAACCCATATTGATTCTCTTGATCATGAAGCATTTATTTAGCATCTAAGTGCCTTAATTATGTCAGAATTGAGTGATCTTAGGTTCGTTGGATTCATTTCGTTGAGCCACTTGATTTGATCATAAGCATATCTAATTTGAAGATCATTTGGTCATCCAATTAATGTTTGAAGCTCACAATTATGCTTCAAGTGCTTGGTTTGGGCTCCTTTAGATCCAGATTGAACCCCTTTTAGTATCGTTGGGTTCGTCTTATTGATATGTTTAGTTCGATTATAAATTTATGGAAATTAGAGTTTATATGATTCTAAATTTAATTATGAAAGTTTCCAATTTAAAATTTGCCTCGAGATTCATGTCAATCATGCCTTTTTTTTAATATACCTATCACTTAAAACTCTCTTATTTACTTACCTAACAACCAAAGTCCTCTTTTTACACACCTACCACCCAAATATCATTTGGCTATCTAAATTACCACTATGTATACCTCCGTCAAAACATCGCTCTGACCCTTCCTGTTTGCGCACGAAACTCCTCTCATCTGCGTTGTTCGAGTAGCTCCCTTTTGCGTTCGCCCACGCCGCTCTCCTCCATTCCATGTGAACATCCTGACCGGGCCAAATCGCTCAACGCCTCGTGTGAACTTCACGCGTCTTCGACCTCCCATCGGCTCTTCCTCGTTCAATCAGGTGCTCACATCGAACCACTCTCCCTTCTCGTTTAGTATTATCTCTATCTTTGCATTTTCATCTTCTCCATTTTGTCGTTGTTGTCGCCAAACTCTTTCTGAAAAATCCCATTCATATAGTTGGATATATTTTCAGTTTGAAAAAGTATTTGGGACCCATACTTAGGAATTAACTCCATATTTGCGTCTAAAATGAAATTGTTCAACAATTTATCTCATACTTGCATTTGCTAATCGGATGAAATTTATCTCATTAAGAATTGTATTGGCATATATGTATTTCGACAATTTGTTCTCTATTGTCTTCAAATATGGAGGATAAATATAGAGGTTATTGAAGTGTTGTAAATGGCCAGAGAAGGATGAAATATGTTGGCGGAAGTCAAAAAACTTTAAAGCTTGCGAGAAGTGATATTAATTTGTTATTATTAAAAGAACAAACCGAAGCACTTTGCCTGTGGTTTAGGGGTCATGCCTACGACCTACTCTATCACATTAATGGAACATCACCTAAAATTTACTTGCCCATTATTAGTAATGCAGATGTAATGAACATGCTTACAGATTCTTTTGATGGCCATAGAATGGAGATGATTGTCGTAGTAAAAGATTATGAAGAAGATATGGGTATTGTTGATGACAGTCAGTGTGGCGATACACATGATTAAAGTGTGAATAGCAGGGCGAATAATGACGTAATAGTAGATGGTATGTCTGATGGTTTCTTTGTGGCTCAAGATTTAGAGGAAAATTCTTTATGTGTTGGATCGTGTTTTGAGGATTCATTATATTTCAAACAAACCATCAGGAGTGTCAATTCTGGTCAACGAGTCGGGTTCGGGTCAAACTTGGAACTGACCTGACTCTAGTTTACACGACCCGAACCCGACCTGTTCTTCCAAACGGGTCAGAAAATGTAACCCGGACCCAACCTGTCGGGTTGACATGACCCGACACGAAACTGGGCTGCGGAAGTGGGCGCGTGGGGATTGCAGCTGAGCGGGTGTGCCCTCGTCACCTCTTTCCGTGTGGGTGTCCGCATGGACCTTGGACCTGAAGGTGACAAGGCACCAAGGTGCATCGAGACTCGGACTGCCGATTGCGGGGTGGGCGTGTGGACCACTGGACCTGAAAGGCGCGTTGGGACTGCGGAGGTGGGCACGTTACGCGTGGCCTGTGGGGAGTCTGCGGACTGCCGACTGCAGAGGTGGGTTGTGGGCGCGTCGTGCGTGGGGAGTTGGGTCAATGGGTCCGTTGGCATTCTGGACCTGCGTTTCTGACTAGGCTAGAGGGCTAAAAGACTTGGACCTGGGTCAACTTCGGTGTTTGATTTCGGGTTTCCGGGTCAACCCGAACCCGACCCGTTTTTCCAAACGGGTCAAAAATCTAAACCTGAACCCGACCCGTTTGCTAACCAGATCGACCCGAACCCGGAATTTTTCAGGTCGGATCCGGGTCGGGTAAAAAATTGACACCCTACAAGCCATTTGTTCCAAAGCAAATTTTCATAACTTTGCTTTCAAGATTAAGGAGGATGACAAATCAAGAGTTATTGCAACTTGCACATAACATGGATGTCCATGAAAAATACATGCTTCGTTATGTTCAGATAGTCAGTCCCTTGAAGTGAGAAAATTATATTCGACACATTTATGCCCAGGGGTAAACAAAGCTGGGAACAAGCAACCTACTACAAGTTGGGTTGCACATGAAATCAAGGACATTGTGAGAAGGATTCCTGATACACCAAAGGACATCGGTAATAATCTGGAGATATTATAGAAATTAGTTGACTTTTGTAATTATTTGAATCAAACCAATTAACAAAAATTCAGTAACAGAACTTCATTAACATAACCAATTACTGGATATAGATAAAAAACTTCAAGCTTTAAAACGTTCAACTTCTACAGAACGTCGGGCATTTACAGAATTACACAAGCAAAATGAGGATTATGTTCATTTACAATTACAACACTCTGATATAGAATTTAAGGCAACTGCAACAAGCAAAATGAGGATCACCAATAACATTTTAATTTGAAGAAACTCAGTTGTAACTGAGACAGCATCGTTGAAACGAACTTCAGCTGCATTTGCACTTGTAAAACGATTCATACCTTTCAAAAAGCCATTTCTCTCGTCAAACCACCTAAAAAATCAACAATCATTTTCTGATCTGTTCCGGGGACATCGATTGAACTTTCTGCCACGATTATTAGCTTTATAGCAAGTATAGATTGTACATTGCAGATTGCAACGACAATATATTGGGTTGTCTAGGTTTTGCATTTGTGTCGTCAAGCGGTTCGAACTCATTTCGCAAACCCACAATAACTACAATTGCAAATCAAAGATGCAACTCACAATTCAACAAAAAGGATGTTAACATATTTGAATTGAAATTTTATACTACATCAAATTCGTTCTTCACTTCTCTGACTAGAAAGAAGTTTGGGACATTTCCAAAAGTCAGCATATAAAACTGTTCCAAAACACTATATTTGTTAAGAATTTGATGGAAGTTGGGAAACCATGCAGAAGTTACGCAAAACATAAAGCAACACATGTTTCAGCCATACAAATTAGCAACCAAACATTAATTCAGTGAAGTAATCTGCCCGAACCCTTTTAAAGAAGATGACTTGACCAATCAAATACTAAAATTCACAAAGATGGGAAAATTTTCTAACAAATACAACAATTTGTAAGAACTAGGATGAGAGATCTTAAGACGATCAGGACGAACAGCCGAAAAACAGACTTGATGAAGAAATTGAATAGAAGAACAGCAAATGGATAAACTCAAATGAGCAAAAAATCTAGGCGACCTAGTGGCGAGGCTGGCAAGGCCAAATCCAAAACCAAGTGAAGAAACGGGGTAGATGAATATCAAACCTAGATGAAGAAAAACATAATACGAAGAACAACTCTAGACGAAGAAATGGAGAAGATGTTTTTCAAATCTAGACGGAGAAATGGAGAAGACAAACACAATACCTACGCAAATAAATGGAGAAGACGAAATGGCGATGCGAACAGAAGTTGCGGAGTGAAGAAGAGTTGTTGCATGCAACCCTGACTTTCATATCGGTGTGAGGTTTTGATGGGAGGTAACAAGAGTGGTATTTTAGATGAAGTGAATATATTTTATCTGGTAGGTGTGTAAATAGAAAACTTTAGGTGTTAGGTGAGTAAATAAAAGAGTTTTAAGTGTTAGATATGTAAAAATCCTTTATAGATGTATCATATATAAACACATAAATTTTTTACGACATCTATAAAAATCCCCTTCAAAATTTTTATCAGATTTGCATGTTCTATAAATCTGTTACTGTGGAAGCTGTTGTTTACTGAACAGGAGCAGATTTTCATATTTTAAGAATAATAAGCTGAATTTCTAGGGGGACTTCCATGATCACAGTCATGCCAGCAACATTTATCATGATTTCAAGCAGGGTTCATTACTTAGCCACATCGTTAGCTCTGTGGCCCACCTTTGGTATGTATCTGCTTAGCTTCGAGCAACTTCTTTGAATATTCATCCTATATAACTTTTTACATTTTTTTCTTCTGCACATGTTCTTGTTCAATTGATTTAATTTAGGCGGTTTGGACGGTTTTCATATTACTTTTTAAAGTAGCTTTTTAGTACAAAATTTTTAATTTTTTAATAGAAAGCTGCTCTTAGAAGCAGCAAAAAAGCCATTCCAAATGAAGTCTTAGGCTTCGTTTCGGACGACTTTTTTTTTCTACTTCTTAAAGCAGCTTTCTAGTATAAAAACTTTAATTTTTGTACTAGAAAGCTGCTTTATGAAGCAATGAGAAAGCCGTCCCAAACGAAGCCTTAGGCTTCATTTGAGATGGCTTTCTTAGTGCTTCATAAAGCAGTTTTTTAATAAAAAATAAAATTTTTATATTAAAAAGTTATTTTAAGAAGTAAAAAGAAAATCGTCTCAAACGAAACTTTAATGATTCAACTTTTGCAATCTCGACCATAGGTGGGTTGGTTCAGTCATTGATGAATGTTTGTTTACTTTCAGAGTCTTGCTCTGCAAATGATAAGATTGACAAGACATCTATATATTACAGAACATATTTATTCTCAGACAAAATGGCCCTCCCTCTTGTCTTCATCTTCATGTTTGTTTTTCATTTTTTTGCTCATGGTCTCTCTCAGCTATACATTGTACATACGCTATACGTGTTATGTGGCTTTTGACTGGAGCCACTTTATGTGCTATTATTATAGTGAAGAACTTGACATGGTGAACCTATTGGTGTTACAAATGAATTGATCTCTATATGGTGAAATCGAACGATTCAGTGAGATGAATCTAATGAGCTCAAAATCACATGATTCTGACATTAATGAGGCATTCAAACATTTAATAAATAATGTCAGATCCAGGGGATCAATATAAACCGTACGATGAAGTATTATGAATTCTAGTCAAATTTTTCAAAATATTAATATAAAAAAGCTTATAAATAAGGCTCCGTTATCTACACGTGAGAATGTTCAAAGAGTTGAAAAATTAAAGGGCGCTCATGCATTTTCAATTCATCACTATTAATGGCCACTACCAGCAATCACTAGCAATAACAACTACTATTTATAGACTCTTATCCAAATTTAACATTATTGTTCGATTTTAACCGTTGATTTGCGAACATTCAATTTTTATAATCTCTATAAGCAAAATCAAATAGTTGTTCTCAAAAAGTCTTATCATTCTCAACTGTGAGGAAATGATGATTCTTGTACATCCTGATATATTGTAGATTATTCAACGAAGCTAAGCCTGATCTTTTTTTTTTCCCTTCCTAAGTTTTCCAAGTAAAAAATTTATTATCATTTACAACTTTTTTTGAAATGTGCTGATTTTTTTATCGAAAGTTAAAGATATAAAATACATACTCTAGCACCGTCAATTTTCAAGCACGTAACAAATATATGCATTTTTCTATTTTTATTATTAATTTTTAAAGAAGGTAGAATTCTTTGAATCCTATCCAAGATAGCTTGACATGGAGAAAGTTTTATTGAGATTATCTCAATTTGAAATTAAGGTTTCGTTTGTGATGACTTTCTTACTATTTTTTAGAGTAGTTGTTTCGTACAAAAAAATAAAATTTTGTACTAAAAAATTGCTTTAAGAAACATTAAGAAAGCCATCTCAAATTAAGCCTAAAGATTATGATTTTAATATGAGTCAAATAAACTGTGTAAATAGTAACAAAGTTTTAATTAATTTTCAAGCATATTGAGGTATAGTAAATTAATTTAATAATAATTATATATGAAGAGAGATTCAAAGATAAAAATGCAAGCCCATAAATTTTATTTCTTAAGAATTTTAGGCAAATTTAATTATAATTTCATGTAAATATGTAAATATAGAATATTACAAATTTTTCAGACAGCTCTTACTTTTTAAGCTGAGGTGCACAAATATAAATCGTTAAATCGCCTAAAATTTTATCAAAATCAGTCACGTAAACATCCACTATGCAAAATATATTTAATTCCGAAGCAAAAAAATAAAATAAAAAAATCCTAATTATTGTGCAAAACTATCAGAAATTAAAATAATAATAATAAATGTGTAACTAATAAGTTTCCTCAAGCAAAAAATAACAGTCGCATCAATAAATATACGGATGAAACTAAATAAGGGCCCAACCGGGTTCGAACCGGTGACCTATTGATCTGCAGTCAATTGCTCTACCACTGAGCTATGGACCCTATTGTGCAAGAACTTCATATCATTTATCTATAAATCTTTAACAATTTCACTAACATACCAATAAAGAAAAGGGAGAGAAGGAACAAACAATGCCCTATTTTTTATGCCTTATGAAGTAAGAGAAAGGAAAGGGGTTTATTATGACACAATAGAAAAACGTGCACATACGCATTTAAAACTTTTATATATGTGCGTGTGTTAGGCTACTACTGATGGTAGAGGACGATTTTTAGTTTTAGAATTGCACTAAAATTCAGCAACACATGAATGAGTGGACTAGCTTACAAAGAAATATATAATTTTTTATGAGATAACTCTAAAAAAGGGGAAAATGATGAGGCGTAAATTGATATGTCACTAATTAGGGGCTGTTTGGTTGTCTGAAAAGAAAATTTAGTGTAAAGTAAATGTAATGTAAAGAAAATATAGTGTAATCCGAATACTTTGAGACTGTTTGGTTGTCTGCAAAATAAACGCAGGAGAATTATTTCCCTTGTTTGGTTTGATAGATCTAGAGTAAAGTAAAAGTGATTTTTTTGTCATAATTAATTTTGGCATTACAACTAGTGCATTTATAAAAGCAATGTATTTATAACAAACTCTTTCGAAAAAGATCTCTTACAAAAAAAAAAAATTTAAGGACATACATATTAAGGCAATTTTATTTAACTGTCTTAATAAATATTTATTAAGGCATACTCTTTTCTCGCTATTTAGTAGGGATTTGGCGTGAGCACTCAGCATACTTTTTTTCCCTAAGTAAAAAGGGATTGCGAACGACGGATAGACAGATGGTTATCAAAATCCAAAAATTCTTATTTCATCCCGCGTGCTTCTTCTTATTTCATCCCACTTCTTCTTATTTCATTCACCTCCATCGTCTTTGTTTGTTTGCCGCCTCCATCATCTTGTTCGTTCACCTCGATTGATCGCTGCCGCGAAATCCACAAAGGCGACTACCACATCAAGTAAAATGCTTTTAATCGGCCTTAATCGTTTGAATGTCGAATGCCCACTACCTATGGTTCTATAAAATTTTATTCTTTCTTCTTTTGATTTGTAGGGTTTTTGAGGTTCTTGTAATTTTTGAAAGATCGACCGAACGCGGACTTTTGTACCTCTGCATAGGCACGACTGCATTTTCCTTGATGTTTGACCTTGCAATATGAAGACCTTCGTGACCACGCTCCTCAACTTTCAATGTGACTAAAACTCTAGTGACCTCTGCTTGTAAATGTAATATAACATATTTAATTTTTTCTTAAAATTTATGTTCTTGCATTCAAACATCCCTTTAATAGGATTATATGAATCCTCGATTACTCTAATTAGGCTGAAAATAATTCATTTAGTAGATATTATTAATAAAGAAAGTTACAAGCACATGTCAGTACAAAAACTCCTCCCAAAACTACCCAGTTGAACATAACAGCTAGAGATCATGGAATCACTATTTCCCTTTCATTTCTTTCGCCTTCATCCGGTAAACAACTATTTCATCATTTCTTTTACTATTGCTATTTACTATTGCTATTGCTCCACTTCCACGTCCACCACCGCTTTCGCTCCCTTGAAACCTTCCTTCTCACGGAGCTGACATTGTGCCCCACCACCACCGGCGGCTTCATTATACGAATAAGCGCCCAACTCACACCATCAAAAAACGGATGCCGCTTGATCTCATTTGCCCCCTTCACGCTCCCCATCCTCCCCGCAGATCCCGCTCCAGCAGTCGCGAAATCATTACACTTTGAGAGAATGCGCGGGAGAAAGCCGATCGTGGATTCCGCTCCCCATCCTCCGCCGCGGATCCTGCTCCATCAAAGAATGGACGTGTCACCACCGCACGTCGTTGGTTCGCCCCAGCTTCGGGAAACCCCACCTACCTCAAGAGAATGATCTTCAAATTAGCTTCTTTGCTCCCTCTCTTGAACGGCGTCCGGCCATACATTAACTCGTAGATAAAAACCCCAAATGCCCACCAGTCAACGCCGTTACCATGGCTGGAGCCCCCGACGATCTTTAGTGGGAGGTGCTTGTGTGTCCCCACGCATGCGCGGGAGAAAGCCGACTCCGGTTCCGCCATGAACTCCAGCTTTACTCCGTCTCTACCATGACTCCGACGAAAACTGGCGCAGCGGAGGATTTCTAAACCCGCTCAATTTGAGCGGGTTTCAAAGTCGCGCGAAATGCCCTTTGTAATACACTGCTTATTCTTCGGATGAATTCATTATTCTCCGCTCAAACCCAACCAAACAACGTAATTCACAAAATGCGTGTAAATAAATTACTTCACTCTCCTAATTCTGCATACCAAACAGCCCCTAAAACATTTGCATCTTCAATACTAACTCTCACTCCATATGTCAAAACTTTTATTAAACTTCCTTGCTTTTGGTCTTCTCTTCTTAAAGAAGAGCAATCAAGCATATTACAAGCAATCTCTTAAAGACAAATCAAACACCTCGAGGATATTGTAATCTTCATCATAAAATTCATTCTATATAGCCTATGTCTACAATATTTTATCAATTTCTTTGTCAACAAATATACGGATGAAACTAAATAAGGGCCCAACCGGGTTCGAACCGGTGACCTATTGATCTGCAGTCAATTGCTCTACCACTGAGCTATGGACCCTTTTGTGCAAGAACTTCATATCGTTTATCTATAAATCTTTAACAATTTCATTAACATAAGGGAGAGAAGGAACAAACAATGCCCTATTTTTTATGCCTTAGGAAGTAAGAGAAAGGAAAGCATTCATCATTTTGAAATCATAAGAAGCAATAGTGGAATCATTTTTGCCTTTGTGATGTATATATTTATACAAATGTAACATATTCAATACTTTTTCTCCATCACTATAAATATTCTAGAAAGTAACAAAGCTAGAGGAAATTAGGTTTAGTATTAAAACTAATTAGTTTAGGCTCATAATAAATCAAATCTAATTAACAAAACAAAATTTCAATTATTAAATTTAGTTTAATTTAAAAATAATTTATTCATTTCAATTTTTAAATTTCACAAATGATCAAATACACGGTTCTGATTAACATAGCGCTGATAAATATGTCCAATTTTTTAATTAAATTTAATAAATAAGCATGAAAAGAGTAATATATTGATACACTATAATTATTATTATTTCATTAAAATCATCTTAAATTAAGTTTAAGGGTTATATGAAATATTTTATTAAAATTTGAGTGCCCAAATGTTTTTCATATTTAAATCCTTCAAATACAATTTCAATATAAGTAGGGCTATCAAAATCAGGTTTCGGATCGAGTTCGAATCTAAAATGAAACTATCCGGATAATATTTGATATGATACGAAACCTACCCATTTTTAAAATTGGGTCAGATTCTCAAACCCAAACCCAACCCGCATTGGGTCCAGATCAACTCGACATGACCCAGATTACCCTAACCAAAGTAAGATGGAGGAAACGACTGTGTATGGCGTTTGTAGGTTATGGTTGCGACGAATGGCGACAATGGCAGAGGCGGCGGCGGCGGACGAAGCTATCGGGGATGGATCCTCCGGTTAGGGAAGTTGCAACAACCTTCGACTAAGGGCACACGAACAATGGATGGCACGCAGACGCGCTAATGCGACGCATTGGTGGGCTGACGCGCTGTGACGAGGACTACGGACGGGCTAACGTGACATGAGACTTGATGCCAAAGGCTGATAGGCTGAGCTGGCGCGACTCGGTTTCCGGGTCAGCATCAGGTTAGCGGGTTAACTCATTCCCGATCCATTTTTTTCAAACAAGTCGAATCCGGACCATTTCAGAAGCAGGTTAACCCTAATCAGAAATTTTTTAGTGGAATTCGAATTCGAATTCGATTTTTAAGTCTTAAATATTGACACCTTTAAATATAAGCATTTAGCGGAAATTTTCCTAAAAAAGCTCTCTTACATCATTATGCATTTTATTTTTATAATATCCCTCCGCAAGACCTACACGGCATTATTAAAGAAATAAAAAAATATAATAAATGAAAAGACGCTAACGCTTCAACCACTGGAACGGTAAGCATTAAGCAAGTTCGACTTTGATGTAGGGGCCCACGCTTTAACCCTTTGTGACACGTTTCGAATGACTATTGGATTGCGTAGCCGTTTCCTGTTCTGCTCGTAGCCTATACTAGATTTTTCACGAGAAAGTGGAGAGAAATAGATACTATGGGCCCACTGCCACATGGCCCATAGATCCCCTAGGTTCCCATCACCTCTTCGCGTAATCGATTTAAGGTCGGCAAGCAGCCAACTAACGGCATTAATTTTCACATGTGTTGTGGGCGGTAAACTCACAGCGAGTAAGGTGAAGCGTTGCATGAACCGCTGAGACCGGTTGCTTGACTACTGTAGTCAACGAACCGGCTTTAAACCTAAAATAAGGGCATTGTAGTAATTTAATGCGTTCACCAACCGAATTTGAATGAGTGTTTTTTCAGTGATTGCCTCTTTATACAAAAATGATTTAATATTTTTTTATTTATGTTATGCTTGTTATCTGAAATTAAATATTAAGTTTATTTAAAAATTATAAATAATTTATAAATTATGTATATCCTTATAATCTAATTATAATGATTAAAATAATAATCTTTTTGATAATTTTTGATGATTTTTAAAATATTTTTAAAATTTTCAAGTGGTATATTTCTCTTTTATATTTATAGAAATTATAAAATTATTGTTTATAATTTAATTAATTATTTGAATAAAAATTAAAAGCTGAAATACTCTTTTGGTTTAGTGGATAAGAGATGCTAAGTTTGATCCCCAACAGCAAAATTGTTTTGTTTTTAAATTCAAAATTAACTATACTGTAGGTTTGTATGTTATATGATGAACTCGGAATGGGCCATTTTGTGATGAACTATGTGAGGGGCCAGTGGGGGCCCGTGCTCTTAGGGCCCCCACCCTGGCGCTAGGGGCGGATTCCCCTTTGGCTCAGGGATAACCTTTTTTTTATTATATATATTTTTAAAAATTTGTCTCTCTTCATTTATTTTTTAGTCTTTATTACAAGTGTTTTTAGGTAATTTGCACCCCCCTGTAAAAGTTTTAAAATACTAAGCCCCCAACATAATTAAACACATTTATGTAGATGTTTTATTGTCAGGAAACGATGAATCAAATACAAAGAGAATTCAACATTTTCTTTTTTCAAAAAATATACTTACATTATGTAGAGGTGTTATTGTTATGAATTTCATCATTAATTTGAATTCCAAAAATATTCTTACAACTAAAATTTGTTCCGGAGGCGCTGCCCCCTGAAACCCTCGCAGAGCCAAAATTTTTCCAGGAGTACTGCCCTAGGAAACCCCCCAGGAGTTTTGTTCCTTGACCCTGTGACCTGACCGGGGGTGCAACCCCTTTGGACCCTATCATATCTACAAAGCGTACGATGATAAAGAGTCGAGCAAAATTCGAGGCATCATCATCAATTATTTATAAGTTTGCCCACCTTGAAAATTAAGGCTGGTTTCGGTCCTGCCTAGCTCTCACTACTTGAGTATAATATATGAGAATTTAATTTTACACTAATCTTAAAGCAATTTAAAAAAAAAAAAATTCGCTCCACTCTTAGTACTTTTAATCGTAATAATCGGACACCATTTTTTCTTTTTCGCCAATACCAACAATGAGTTTTTTCATACGCTGGAGAAGGTTAATTTCGTCATAAAAATTCCAAGAAAGTCAAATTCGTTACCTGTTGGAATCCTTCGCTGCTTTCTGGCGTTTATTTGTAATAATTCTGCAACTCTGTAGAATCCATAAAGCCAGGAAGAAGAAACGGTGTTGAAAGAGAGCGAGAGGGAGATGGAAAGCTCCGGCTGTGTGGGATTAATGGCTGTGGTGGCGATCTCCAGCAGCGTAGCTCTCGTCGTCCATCAATTTCACAAGCGCCTTGTCGCCGATTTCATGAAAAAAGCCGAACTTGAGCTCGGTAAGGACAAATCTTCCATCTTTCTCATGATTTCTCACTTCTTCTTCTTCTTCCTATTCCCCTCCTTTCTTGTTTCCATGATATATCTTAGCTAGAACAAATATTGCATATTTCTCTTTCCTCTCCTCTATTTTCCTATGCGAAGAGAAATTATTTCTAATTACTTCTAGGCCGGATAGTTTTTCTCTAAACTTGATTTGTTTCTGTTTCTCTATTATTATTTGGGATTTGATAGGCGGAGGGAGGATTAAACGGCCGAAGAAGAAGGTGACGTTCGCCGCCGACGTGGTGGAGCCGTCGACGGACAACAAGGAGTACAGGAGGAGGAGGAGGCGATCAAACCCGGAGGAGGAAACTGTGATCTCCATGCCTGTCTAGTTTGTTTTTCTTCCTTTCTTTTTTGTGAATGTTGTTGAAAGTTAGAAGTTAGACCTGTTAATCTTCTTCTCCTAAGTAATTTAGAAGTCTGTAGATATCTTTGGAAGCTTCCATGTAATTGTTAAGGGAGGCTTTGTAGCCGTTAGAACACGCCTTGAATTTAAGAAACTTTTTTTTTTTTCAATATTAAGTTAGCTAAAAAAAATTATATAATTATTTGATGGTTAAAATAAATAATAAAAACTATAGTCATGTTGTTTATATCATATAAAAAATTATATAATTATTTATAAAATTGAGAGATTTTATATCTCACCCCAAATTCCAACACATTAGCTTACTTGTTTTTTAATAATTTAATTTCACCTCTTGAAAATACAAAATCATATAATTAATTAAATTTGGAAAAAAATTTAATATTTAATTAATTTGGAGGAAGAGCACTCCGATGTGTGTCACATTTGTTGCAAAAGGATTTGAGAATCTTTGTTGGTCGGATTTTGGTACTCATTTGTAAAGGTGCAAATGAGTTGAGTGTAGTCGAGTACATATGCCTAATATTCGAGCTCGGCTATAAGCTCAAGCTTGAAAGTTGATAAGCTCGACTCGCGAGCTTATTAACGAGTCAAGTTCAAGCAGTTACGAGAGCCAATTAAGCCAAGCCTACTCGGCTCACTTATGCCTCTACTTATTTGCTTTAAAAGGAAGTTATGAGAGTTTGTGAAGCTTTTTTTTTTATTGGAATGAGGTATCTACCCGCAGTCACTTCAACTTATTAGGCGTTTGGCGGTGCGACTAATCCTCGACTGACTTGGAAGAGGCACCCACCACAAAAATTTCCTCACCAACACTTGATTGTGCCCTACTGAAGAGGCACTGCTACTCAAGAGAAATCGAACATGATTTGGGGGGTACCCAACCGCACTCGCCCATCAACCAAGCTAAGCGGCGACGAGGTTTGTAATGCATTTAACAAAATATTAAATGGATAAGGCACTTTTCTATATGAAGTCAAGTTGCATCATCTACTTTTGCTTTTTAGTGTAGGTCTTTTGCATGTTTTACTTTGATTTTTTTTTTATCCACAGTACTTTTTTAATTTCAGTAGTGACGTTAGTGATTGCTTTGCACAATAATTAAGAGAAAAAACTGGATTAAAGCAGTCTTATTTTAATTTACTAGGATTACAATTGTTAATAATTAAATTGAGCTAATTAATTAGTTTTTAATATTTTTTATTTTAAAATAAATTTACTAATTATAAAAAAAATTATTAAATTTGAAACATAATATACTGATCTTATATTTTGAAATTAATTTAAATATATTAGTTATGCATGCTGATATTTATCTAAAGTTGGCATCTTTGGGTGATCCAACTTAGAATTCCACTAATACTCTTCATAAATTCCTAAAATATAACTAAATTCCTTAAAAAGGTAGCCAAGTCAAAGAGTTGGTTAACCTACTTTTGATTAATTGTTCAAAGCATGATTGTAAAGGTAAAAATTCAATTTTTCATTTCATAAAACTATAATGTATTTTATTAATCAATTAATAGAAATAAAGATATAAAATAATCATTTTTTCTAAATAAAATTTATATATGAAAACTAATTATAAAACTTGTATTAGATTAAGCCTAATTATATGATTCGAAATAGCTTGAAATATAGATAATGTCTTTTGTTCTAATTTAGTATATGTTACTTTGCAATCAATAATGGATTTTAATTTTAATTTTTTTTAATTTTCTTATACCCTCTAATAGTAGTGTCAAATATTAATAAATAATTTGATCAACAACCTCACTTGGGTCCGAACCAAGAACTTTGGGTTATGCTTGACCTGTTTAATTGATGTGTTGGTTTCAGTTTGAACTTTAAAATATATTTTTACCCTATAAAGTATTTTGTTTAAATATTTTTTCTTAAATTCTTTCGTTTGATGATATGCTTGTTTATATATATATATATATCAATTAAACTAAACTCTATAGTTGCGAAAAAAGTTAGGTTTGGGTTCATATTTTTACCCATTTATTAAATACATTGAATTTGAGTTGACTGGATTCAAAATAGGTCAACTTTAAGTCGAATTTAAACCTAACCCATTAACCCGTTTTGACACCTACCTCTACTCTAAGTTAACTTTTTTTTTATTTTTTAAATAGAAATTTAAAAACCTCCCATTAGTAAATAAATTAAAAATCATCGATAGAGCCGCTAAAAATGCTGCCAGAATATTACCTACCATTTTTTCTCCACCTAAATCAAAAATGATGGGAAAAAATGCATTATGTGAAAAATAAATAAATTTTATTTTTTAATGCAAATTTATTAGCATGATTGATCAATTTTTATTGGATTTTATAATCATATGCCAATGATGAAGACATCTCAGGAATTATAATTGCATCTTTTTTGTCTTTTTAGTAGGCTTTATAATATATGTATATTTTTATTATTTTCAAAGGACAACAAGAGCATCTTTGGACAACAAGAGCATTAAGTGGGTTTGAAAAGTCATTAATAGATAATTGCAACTAGATTTAAAATAATTCAAGGTTATTTGATTTCTTTTATTGGGCTCAGATTTTTTAGAGGCCAGCAATATTTTTTTTTCTATTTAGATCAATTAAGACAAATTCATATAAACGTCACAAAGCTCCCAACAAACAGATCAAGATGAGCTCCGTAAGTCGAAAATATTTGATATTGACTTAAATTAGGGTTTAGTCATTAAAGGCTTATATATGCCACAAATACAATTTTATGACCAATTCATGTCGTAAAATCGGTCACTAAAATATTTGTCGTAAATAATTTGGAACCAATAAATTCAGGCACAAATATATTGTTGTGATCTTGGAGGAAGATGTATCCTTCAAAACTAATGTTTATTGTTTGGCTTGGAGTCTATATTACAGCCTATTGCATAACTATTTATCGATGTTAATGGCAATACAAAACTACATAAGAACCTAAAGCAAGTACAACTAAAAAACTAACATAAATTTGGACTAAATCTTAACAATCTCCACCTTATTCCAGATTTTACAAAACATCTAAATCAATCCATCTTTCTTCCGAATCTACAGCCACTGCTAAATTAACTTTTTCTTTAATTCTTCATGCCTTCCCAACCACGACTACTACTCCACCAGGTCGCTCCGACGCAGGCACCTACAGTGATCCAATAGGTACAAAATTACAAGTTCAAGAAATGACCACTACATGCACATGAGCGTTCACCACAACTCCCCAAGCATATAAGTAGTTCTTTGCGTAGATCCTGAATGACACCTACCATGCCCGTATCCAGCTTCAATTTTTCCCTGACCAAACAAGACGATCGCTCCGATCGCCACGCCTCATGGAGTAGGGGTTGAGTACTCTTTACATTTTTTTGTACAATGCCCAGCGCTGTGTACCCAATCGCCTCGACGCTGTAAAAATTTGTTGGGAGAAAAGACAGAGTGGAGTGCTGCAACGCTGTGAAGAGGACTGGACAATCTTTCTTCTTTGCTTTTTCTTAAAGGTGAAGTCCATTGGTGGTAATTAGAGGTTTTATTTATTTTATTTTTTTCTTTCTTTCTTCAGTTTAGTGTGTAAAAACTATGTATGATAGAATGTAAGCAATGAGAGAGTGAGAGAATAAGAGATAACAAAGATCTATAACAATTTATCCAAATTTGTACAATGAATTTCTTGGTCTGATGAGGCTCCATGATTTTTTTCCGATTTCAAAATTTTACACATTAAATCCTAGAGTTCTTTAATTTCGACCGCATTTCTATTTTATTATTTATTTCTCTATATGATTTAACAACTAAGAGAGTCCCTATCCTACTTTAAAGAGGATGAGCAACACTATCGACCTAAGCCAATAGCCACTTGATAACTTTTGGATGATGAGCGCCGCAAATTGAGAAAGAAGGCAAAAGTTTTTATATCCGACTTTTAAGAACATAAACGCTAAGGGGTTTGAAGAACTTTAAATTTGTACCGTCAAAAATGGACAAAATAACTCTGCCAATACCATATAAATTTGCTTCCTCAATTTGAACACGCAAAGAGACGTTGCTTTCTACTGTATTTTTCTAATCACCATTTGCTGTTTCATTTATAAAATAAGTAAATAAAAAAATTAATTTTCAGCAAATTATAATTATTTTAGATTCGATAAATTTGAATTATATTTATTATAAATTTTCACTTTCTAAATGATTTTTGGAAAATTAAAATAAAAGGGAAAGAATTTTTTTTTTTTTAATATACTTGTTTTATTACACGTGTTTTAAATGCATGTGAATAAAAATAAAAAAAATAAAAAAATTCATAGTATGAATATTTTAATTATATTATTACAAAGTGAAATATGCACACGTTCTAATTTACTTGGTCAATATAATTTCTTATCAATAACACCTAAACCAAACATCCAAGATGTAATTATTTGATAAATTATATTTATTTTCCACTTAATTCTTATAGTCAAAACACAACCAAAAGAGAGGTGAGTTGCATCTTCGCCAAAAATAAAAACAGACAGTCGAGAATAGCCAAAGAAGTTTGCAATGAAAGAAAAACTATTACTTTGTGGCGAACTACAATCATGATTTTATATCTGAGAGGAGAAGAAGGCGAAGAAGCTTCTTGAAACGAAGCCCTTGAATTGCTAACAATGTTGTAGAAGAAGACAAAGAAGCTTCTAAAGCGACTCCTTCATAACCCTTCTTTATGCGAAGCACGTGAAGCCAGTGATGTTGTAGAAGAAGCGAAGAGGCTTAATAGCGAAGGCATAAACAGACATTCGTAGAGAGCTACCATCGTATAATATATATGATGTTTAGTAATGAAACTTATAGTTTTTTTAATATAGTATTTTTCAATAAAATTATTGATTACAATTTTATGTCAAATACAAAAAATTCACTAAAAATTTTATATGCGGTTTAAAAATAATTTAAATAAAATACAATAAAAAGTATTATCGAAAGATTTAGGATCCTATTGGATATGGGCCCTGTCTTTTAAAGTAAATTTTTTGGGTTCGAATCCCAGCTCCTTTATTTTATTAGCCTAAGTTACTAAGAGCAAATATATTTCTGCCTGTAATGGGCCTGGCCTGACTTGGTAAAAATGACATTTATTTTTGAAATAAAGTAGGCTTTTACTGGGCCTGTAGGCTAGTTCTGCCAGACCTCCACTATAAATACGCCCCGAAAAGGGTCCCTTCATGAAGATAGAATGAACTTATTTATAAATTTTTGTGAGTGACATGCTCCTTAAAAAAGGAAAAGTTCAAGGGCAACTTTGATGTGTTCAATCGGACTTGTTGGAGTATTCACAAGTGCATTAATGATGTCAGAATTAAGTGATCTTGGACTTGTTGGATTCGTTTCATCGAACCGCTTGATTTGACTATAAGTTTGTAATATTTGAACATCATTTGGTCATAAAAAGCTTTCAATTATGCTCCGCCCACTTATTTTGAGCCCATTTGGTCTGAAATTTGATTGAATTTGGTGTTGTTGGGTTGCTCTCGCTGAGACATTTATTGACTATAAGTTTGCTGAAATTGGAGTTTGGATGATCCAAAATTTAATTTTTTAAAAAATTATTTTAGCAGATAAGTTAAGGTGCGTATTTTATTTAGATTAATTTTGGACGAAGAAAATAATCCAATTCAAGGAGTGAAGCATAAATAAAAAAAATTGTATTAACTCGCCCATATAAGTTCCCCAGCAAAAATAACATGCATTACTTTGCATTAGAAAAGTATTGGAAACCCGGCCCATTGGCCTATTGGGCTTTCGTGGTATTAAGGCCCCACACAATTTGTGTCTAATTTTAAATGGAAAGGCCCATATTTCGTCTTCGGGTGTCAAGAACCTTTAAATAAGCCGATTACAAAGAAAATCTAATTATGTTATAAAGTTAAATAATTTCATTATTTAAAATTTTAATTATAGGATAATTTTTTTGTAATATAAATCTTAGTTATTCACATAATCACAACTCATATTCTCTTAATTTCATCCAATTTAAATAATTTGATTGTGACCTACATAAAATATATGTATACAATGTCGGAATTAAGATATTATTTTAATATTATTTATTAAATTTAAATTAATTATTTAGA